GGATACTCTTGTTATTTAGCCTATCTTTGGTGAAGTTCGATGACACTGAAACAACCGTACCTTTACATCTCCACTGCCGCTGTGCAGGTATACAAGGGAAGGATGCCAAATGGAAAGAATGTGGCAGTCAAAGTGATGCAGATGACGCCGACATGCAATGTGCTGAAGGTGTTTATCTCTGAGGTGGAGACGCTGTGCCGAGCTGAGCATCGCAACCTTGTGGAACTGCTGGGGTGTGCAGCTGGAGATAACAACCACCTGGTACTGGTGTATGAGTACATGCCACGTGGCAGCTTAAGAGACTACTTGCATCATCACAGTGGAATTCGACCACCACCTCCCGTGGGACTTGTCCAAGAACAGCATCTTGTGAATCCTCCTGGTTATAAAGGGGAAACCGTCGTCAAGGGTAGCAAATGTTCGGTTTCGTCTTCTCAGACACTGTCCCATTCAGACGAGCTCGAGCTCCCTCTTGTTGGAGATGAATGTCCTCCTAGTGAGAATATACTCCCTACTCTAGGATGGAACAAGCGCATGTCTGTTGCACTTGATGTAGCACAAGGGATCAAGTATCTTCATGTTGACTGTGTTCCTGCAATCATTCACCGCGACATAAAGTCGAGCAATATACTTCTAGATCAAGACTTTACTGCTAAGGTTGGCGATTTCGGGCTGTCGAAACTGCTAGGAAAGGACAACTGGGACTCAGAGCACCAACATGCAAGCACCACGAGTGCCGTTCGAGGATCGCTGGGGTACGTTGACCCTTCTTATGTCACAACCGGGAGAGTCACCCTGAAGAGCGACGTCTATAGCTTTGGTGTCTTGCTCATCGAGCTTCTTACAGGCCGCGAGCCTCTCGATCCCACCCTACTGGCGAATGAAGGCAAGGGGCTGATTCGTTGGGCCCTGCCTCACCTGGAAAATGGGTGCGCTGAACTTATCTTGGACCCCTCTCTCAAAGGAATGGCACCAATTGGTGCTGTGAGGGAAGCTGGAATCGTTGCTGCTGCATGTGTTCAGCCACAAGAATCCGAAAGGCCTTCAATGGAGGATGTTGTGGAACAGCTCAGACCCTTGGTTAAGTGGAAAGACACCTCTGGTTTATACACGTCGAGTGTTAGCCCTCCTCCTGTTGAGGAGTCGTATATCTCGTCGGTTACCATTGAGTCATCCCACGGTTGGAGTTGCTCCGGAAGCGACTCTACATTGAAGAAAGCTCCGCAACCGTCCATTCATTCTGCCGTGAGCGAGGAATATGACCACGATGACGGATGGAACTCGGAGAGCGAGACCCTCGTGGTCAAGACAAGCAAGGAGAAACTGGAGAGGTGAATTGCAGACCAGCAAACACTGCTCATTTATGTCCATTCTTATGATCCACTCTTCATATCAGGAATCCTCGCACTCCCCCCAACCCCCACCCTTCTCTCTCTCTCTCTCTCTCTCTCTCTCTCTCTCTCTCTCTCTCTCTCTCTCTCTCTCTCTCTCTCTCTCTCTCTCTCCCCCAACTCCTCCTGGGACTCTGAGAGTGTGAACATGGTGTTAATGTTCGGAGGTTCTTCAGGGGAACCTTTTACGTAAAGGGGAGATAACATTTACAAAGTGGGATGCTCGCCCATGGATTTCTCAGCAATCCAACCATGTTGCGGCATTGTTGCCTGCAGTTTCTAAGAGAATAGCATAATCCCATAACCATTTTCCTACCACTGAAGCAAGTTCAGGAATTGGCACAATTGGGTCCTCATGGTCCAGAGGGACCATTCCTTAATGGTACCATGTGGTCCTAGTTGGATCATTTTAAGTCCTAGTGGGATCATTTTTAGGTCCTACTGGGATCATCTGGACCTACTAGTTGGAACATAGGGTCCTCCTGGCATGGAGCACACCTAGCATCCGATTGGGTTGTTCTCAAAAAAAAAAAAAAAAAAAAAAAAAAAAAAAAAAAAAGGAACAGTGTTCCAGTGCTTGAACTGCTGAAGAAACCTATCCTGGCCTAGAATAGAGAGTAACCAAATCCTTCTACTGATCAGCTGAGCCCTGCGGAGAACACGTCCCACTCCATATGTCTTCTCCCCTCCTGCCCATGGTTTGGGCAGGACTTCTCCGAGCAACACTCAAAGCGACACTGGGTGGGCTCACGGTCAACTGGTTCTGAAAATTTAGTCAGCAATGACACAAAAAAAAAAAAAAAAAAAGCCTGGAGTTAAGTTGAGTATAAGAGGTTTCAAGTTGAATGCGGCCAAGGTATAGAATGCGGCCTCGCGGTGGTCCAGTGGGACCATTTTCCATGAATGCGGCCACGATTTTCTGATGCATTCAAGCATTCCAACATAACTGCCATTTCGTCAAAATGGATATTTTCAAAAACTTTTGAACGAAATTGAAACCGAGTTTTTTGGCCTAAAACAGGTCCAAATTTTTGGCTCCTGAGGGTCCAGCGTTTTAAGAACGCTGGACCCCCTGGATGTATGTGGACTCAACTTGATACCTGATACATTCAGGGAGTCTGGCGTCAGGAGCAGCAAATTTGGACCTGTTTTCGGCCAAAAAAACTCGGTTTCGATTTCGTTCAAAAAATAAAAAATTTAAAAATGTCCATTTTGACGAAATGGCAGTTACATAATCTTGGCAGCGGCAAAAGGTTGTCATAACTGCAGTCGTTGGGGCCTGCGCTGGTACTCCATGTTTGTTCCATGAGACACGGGACAACAATGTGTCCCACGAAACATTGGCCCGCAATATATTCCCATGAAAAATGGGAAGATGACAATCGGTCCCAAGAAACACAGAACACAGGACGACGACAATCTGTCAAGACAGATCTGAGACTTTTTTTTTTTTTTTTTTTTTTTAAGATAAACACTCCCTCTAGTGCTAGTGGTGCTGGTTAGAGCAGACACCGCTATCACCTGGGAGAGACTCCATCTATTGGTGGGGAGCATCACCTGCTGGAAAACGGGTCCAGCGTCCCTTGTACATAATGAATCAGAAAAACAGAGAACTTGGCAGAAGGGTTAAGAAAGTATCGGGATAAGGCCTGCCAGCATTGATTACTCTGGATTCCAGAGGATTAACTGAGCAGGGTTTTTTTTTTTTTTTTTTTTTTGAAAGACATGCTCCAATCTATTCGTGGGGAGCAGCACATGCTGGGAATCGGGCGCAGCGTCCCATATGAAGACATGTAAAAACAATTTATGAACAAATTGAGGTACCGAGGCCATTACCCGGTTTCGGCTTGAGAGTATCCTCCAAGATCATGAACAAACTACAGAAAATCGGGATAGATGATGAGAAAATTACGTATCCTTCGGCGCACCACTCTCCAACTGTGAGAAAGACAAAAATGTCGCTGGTGCATCTGGCCATGTTCTAGCGGGAAGTTCATTATCTTTTTGCACATTTTGAGAGTGGTGTGGCCATGCCCATAGTTTTGTTGGGAAGCGGCTGACTCTACACAAGAAGACACTGCGTCCTCGACTCCCGAATTTGAGAAATGGCCGTTCGGGCGTGCGGTGTGGGGCCCTCACGCACTGGACACAAGAAGACGCTGTGTCCTCGACTCCCGAATTGGAGAAATGGTCGTTCGGGGGTGCAGTGTGGCCATCTATACTCCTGATGTCTCTTTCCCGATTCCTCGAGCTCGAGAGTACTCCCGAAAAATATTTGGGGTTCGGGAGTGGTGTGGCGAGGCCCTAAGGCAGGGGTGGAGCCATAGTACATCCTTCCTTTACAGGGAAGTAATCAATGCTGTTGTCTCCGGATACCTTGATCCCTTGACCATAAGGAGGGGCAGCGTAGTGCGTGTGGCAGATGTAAAGGACACTACCCGGAAACAAGGTACGTACCTTCTATACAAATACAAGGTACGCGGTACCTTGTATTAGAATACAAGGTACGTACCTTGTAGAACGAATTTTAGGACGCAACTTTCCTAGGCAAGGGGAAAAAATAATAAAAATATACAGTAAATATTAGTAATAATATCATGAATAGAACACAATCGACTGCTACCATGACGGGGCTGCAGCATGAAGTTTTTTTTGTGTTTGTTTTTGTTTTAAAGAACACATTGACTACGCTGCGTGCTCACGATTCGGCATGCATTCGAACATTACATGTGTTTGTGTGTGTGTGTGTGTGTGTGTGTGTGTGTGTGTGTGTGTGTGTGTGTGTGTGCATGTGTGTGTGTATGTGTGTGTGTGAGAGAGAGAAAGACGCACACACACACACACACACACACACACTCACACAGAGAGAGAGAGAGAGAGAGAGAGAGAGAGAGAGAGAGAGAGAGAGAGAGAGAGAGAGAGAGAGAGANAGAGAGAGAGAGAGAGAGAGAGAGAGAGAGAGAGAGAGAGAGAGTTACATGACAGTTACAAGGCACACCTCGAATACAAGGTACGTACCTTGTTTTCGGGTTAAGACAGTAGACTGCTTTTTCAGTCTGATAAATACAACAGACTGTTATCGGGAAAAGAAAAAGAAAGGAAAATAATGAAATATGTAAGAACGTAAATAAACAAATATTTTTTTTCGGAAAAAAGATTGCTCATGGAAATATTTCTTTTTCTTTTGTCTTTTTGTTTTTCCTTAAACCACTAGTACCTTTGTCAGTTCAAAAAATAGCAGGCCTCCGATCTTTCATGAGGCCAATTCTTGTTGTTTACCGCATTTAGTTACCTGGGATTTTACTATTTTTACCATGTAGGAATTGCTATTTTTGGACCTGTTGCTTGGGCAGCTCTGTACGACTATCCATTCTGTATACGTTGTCTTGTCGGTCCTGCCGTTTTAGGTGTGTTGTTAACGGTTGTTATTATGTGAGGTCAAGAGTCTAATTAGTGTTTTTGGTTTTTTGCCTTTTTGTTTTTCGGTTTTTCCTTCTTTTTTTTTTTTCTTTTTTTTTTTTCCTCAGCAAGTTCATTTCGGTCACTCCGGGTAGACTGTGAGGACCCCGGCCATTTGTTGCTCTGCTCAATTCCGCCGAAATATACCGAATTGCTTGTTGTTCTATGCGATAGCTATGGCTGGGTTTTTGGGTTTTTGTTTGTGTTGTTTGGTTGACTGTGTCGTGAAGTGGTGACATGAACACGGGAGTGTCGCTTTGCGAAGACCCTGTTATGGTGGGTGGCGGGGCTTTTAGGGTTTGGTTTGTTTTTTTTTACGTATTTTTTTAAAAAAAAGGGCACAGTGACCAAGGCTTGTATTGATATTTGAGAACATTGAGGCTGGGGTCCTCACAGTCTACCCGGAGTAACCAACATATGATGATGAGGATGATGATGATGATGATGATGCTAAAACTGATGATTTTATGCTAATCAGAATCATGATGTCTGACCAGCTGCAAGCTAAGTACTAGCCAATAAGGAAGAGTGATCAGGAAGGCTAATCAGAATGTTCTCTACTCAGAACTTCAACATGGAACCCTATCCTAATTCCAGGTGTTTCTACCAATTCCAGTAATTCTCATCTGAGGCTGTGCTGTGTACCAATCCCACCTCTACACAGTCTCACATCCTCTAGTTACAGGGCAGCGCTACCCGCCCCAGCTCCGACCATCGTCCGTCGGTCAAATTAGTGGACTGCCTTCCTCCCTCAGCAATCCCCAGATCTCTCTACAAGACCTCAAGCTCCTAGTAGTTTAGGTTACAGGGCGATGCCCCAGCACCGGTCAGCGTCGTTCTGGCATCAGCTCGACCTAGGCAAGTGCACATTCATGACTCCTTCTTTGATGTTGTGCAGGCAGATCAGCGCGGATTCGTTTATGTTTTTTTTTTTTTTTTTTTGTTAACCATCGCCTGAGTGTTCTAGGAGTGGTGATATGAGCATCCACCGTGTCTTTTTCCTGGGTTTTCTTTTCTTGTTTTGTTTTCACAATGCGGTGTTTCATATCCATGTCTGCAAATGGTTGTCCTTGTAGCAACTGGCCTAGCTCAGGTGGTACATTCATGAACTGTTGGCCCCTAGCTCAGTTGGTCAAGCGCTGGTTGGTTATGCACCTTTGTGGCTTAGGGTGTGGGTTCGAATCTTCGAGCCTGCACACTCCAGTGAGATGTTCTGAATATTGATATTGTGGATTCTGAGCGCTGAGCTTAGGGCCACTCGCACACTGCGTTTGCACTGTAGCCCAGATGGATTGGGTGCCTGTGTGATCACTACCGCAAGTTGCAGGTTCGAGCATTGCCGGGTGGGGCACCTGTGGCGCACGCTGCAGAAGATCTCAAAATAGACCCGTTCTTCGGGGACACAGGTTGCAGGCTCGATCCCTGCCATGCCCCCGAGTGGATGCTTAGGGGCAGATTGCGGGTTCCCTGTCCGAGCCTAGATGGGAGGGTGCTCGGTCCACGGGGGGAGGGGCGGTGGGTAAGGAGGGCTGAGCTCGGTGTCTTGTGCAA